ACAACGGTAGGACTGCCTCGCAAGAAAAAGGCTGTGACATCTTTTAATCACCAAATATGCTGAAAATGCTAGGTGACTTGCTAATATTGATAATATTATACTTGCTATTTTATTATAAATACTTGATAAATAATGTAGTTTGCTTTTTACTTTTCATATTAATATTAATACAAAGAAAGGCTCTGTCGATAAAAATACATGCTTTGAAGAGCTGCACATAAAGAGAAAACTGTGATCTCTTAAAAATGTGATGCTCAAGTACTATTAAGTGAGTTTCTTTATATTAACAAATTTTATGACAGCTATTTTACAATAAACATTTATTAATGTAGTTTTGCTTCTTACTTTTATATTATAGATAATGATACAAGAATAGGATCTATCGATAAAAATATATACAACATGAGACTGCCTCGCAAGAAAAAGTCTGTGAATCTTTTGTAAATGATGCTGAAATGCTAGGTGAGCTTCCTTAATATTGGTAAATATCATAATTGCTATTTTATCATAAATACTTGATAATAATGTAGTTTTGCTTTTTACTCTCACATTATATATTAATACAAAGAAAGGCTCTGTCGATAGGAATACATGCATCAAAGAGATTGCTGCACAAAGAGAAAACTGTGACTCTCTTAAAAATGATGATGCTCAAATATTAGGTGAGTTTCTTTAATATTAGCAAATTTCATAAGTGCTATTTTATGATAAACATATAATATAGTTTTGCTTCTTACTTTTATATTAGATACTGATATGAAAATAAGATCTATTGATGAAAATATATAATGATATGAAAATAAGATCTATTGATGAAAATATATATAATGAAAAGGCTGCCTTGCAAGAAAAAGGCTATGAATCTTTAGAGATCAATGACTCGCAAATATTAGGTGAGTTTCCTTAATATTAACTAAAAATTTAAAGTATCCCACATTAATGTTATGTGAAGTGTCGGTTAAATCAGCTGGTTTTTTAATATGTTGTAGCTTATAATCTATTGAAAAAAATGTAATAGGCTCAAAGCTAAATAATAGGTACTGATTTATACAATCAGTCAAATATGAAATACTCGGGCTTTGCGAACTGCTTGCCTGGCTATACTCAATAATTGTTTATTAATTAGCCTTGAGATTATTGCATCTTTTGTTCAACAGATCATAAGCTACATTTGAAAAAAAACAGCTGGTTTAACTGAAATTCATTTCACATAAGATTAATGCGAAGTACTTTCATAACTATTATTTTAGCATAATTATTTGATAATAATTCAGTTCTGCTTTTATATTAGATATTAATACATTGATAAATGCTATCGATAAAAATGAAAATATTGGTGAGATGCATATCAAAGGCTGTAATTTCCTGGAAAATTCTGGAATTTTAATGACTATAGGTAATTTTTTCAATATTAATCACAATATTTTCACAAAAGTTATTCATAATGGTGTTTGTTACATATATTAATTGCTACATATTACAAAGTACATATTACTAAATAATTGCAATGTTTTATCAATATCATTTTTCTTAATTTTTTTGATAAGCAATAGTTAAAATTCAGAATTATTTTATGTAAAAATAATCGCTACTAAAGAAAAAAAATCATTTAGTTGAAAATAAATATTGTCATTTTTAGTGTATATATAAATACGTTTTCTCTCTCTCTCTTGCTATTCTTTTATGATTTTAGTAATTTTTAATAAAAAATGTAAAGCTAAAAAATATTGTTTTTATTTTCTTTTATGACTATATTTTAATAAAATGTAAAGCTAAAATATATAAAATATATAAAATTTTAATTTTATTTTTTAATATTTCGGTTAATTCACATCTAGTAATTCGGCATTTATCAATTTCAATATGTATGCACTATTTTAATAATATATGGTAATAATATATATTTTTCTAGCATCTCCTTATGGCAAAACCAAAAGGCAGCGTTGGACAGAAAAAGAAAAAGAAACAGTACTTCAAGCATTTTCCACACATATGAAAAACTTAACGCTACCGTCTTTACGAGAAATTCAAGAAACTAAAAAGAAGTATAGTTGTTTATTTAATCGGACATCGCCGCAAATAAAAACATGGATCCATAATAAACAGAAAGCTCTACGACAATATGAATAATGTCATTCTGGTAATTGCAACTGCTTTGAATTCTTGTTTATTTCATTAGATAATATTTTAAAAATGTTTTCTTATCATTTAATTAATACTTCAAACATAATACTTCAAATTTATTTTATATTCTTTCAAGATGTCAGTTTTCGACAAAATTTACACCGATAATGAAAGTTATTGAAAGTTGCAAACAATATAATTGTAGCTTTTAATTTTTTATGAATTTTTTGTTTTGTTTATTTTGAAATATTATTTTTGTTTTAGAAGCATAATAGCATGCTACATATAAAACGATAAAATATAAGTATAATATAATACAATAGTTTGAAAAAGAATTTAATTTGCAAATATATATGTATACATATGACCTCTAGTGTATCATAAGACTGCTATTCTATTGTAATTTATTTATTTTTCGTGATACACACACAAGACGGTATTGTGGACATTTTGTTGACTAACTGTACTTTTCTATTATATATACAATATTATTTATTGTATTACAATATGTATATTATATATAATAATTATTATATCACAAATGATATATATACATATAGATAATATGTTACATATAAGTAGGTTACATATTTATCTTATTTATAGCTTTTTATTATTACAACATGCTCATTTAGCGAACAGATGAAGATATTTATGTTCCTTGGAGGACTTAGGTTAGTGCGGACTATTTCTAAAAGAAGATAGCCTCAGTACTCTTAATTTTAGACCAATGAGTGCTGGGACTGTCCTTAGTCGAGGACAGAGTCCGCATTGGTCGACGTCCTTGATCGAACTTAGACCAATGGGTGCTGGGACTGTCCTTGATCGAGGACAGAGTCCGCATTAGTCGACGTTCTTGATCGAACTTAGACCAGTGGGTGTTGGGACTGTCCTTATCGAGGACAGAGTCCGCATTGGTCGACGTCTTTGATCGAACTTAGACCAGTGGGTGCTGGGACTGTCCTTGGTCGAGGACAGAGTCCGCATTGGTTGACATCCTTGATCGAACTTAGACCAGTGGGTGCTGGGACTGTCCTTAGTCGAGGACAGAGTCCGCATTGGTCGACGTCCTTGATCGAACTTAGACCAATGGGTGCTGGGACTGTCCTTAGTTGAGGACAGAGTCCGCATTGGTCAACGTCCTTGATTGAACTTAGACCAATGGATGCTGGGACTGTCCTTGATCGAGGACAGAGTCCGCATTAGTCGACGTTCTTGATCGAACTTAGACCAGTGGGTGTTGGGACTGTCCTTATCGAGGACAGAGTCCACATTGGTCGACGTCCTTGATCGAACTTAGACCAGTGGGTGCTGGGACTGTTCTTGGTCGAGGACAGAGTCCGCATTGGTTGACATCCTTGATCGAACTTAGACCAGTGGGTGCTGGGACTGTCCTTGGTCGAGAACAGAGTCCGCATTGGTCGACGTCCTTGATCAAACTTAGATCAGTAGGTGCTATCTCCTTTTAAGAATGGAGTCCGCACTAGCTTAAATCTTCCAGAGAATATCTTTTGGTGTCTCCAGATGAGCATGCTTGTAAAATAAAGAGATGATTAAACTATAAGTCTGGAAGATAAACACGTTATAATAAAGTAAAAGATAGTTTAATTACTTAAATATTAATATTATCATACAACTCTGAAATTCAAATCACTTGTCAATACTTAAAGTGTTTATGTTCATTAAATCGCTACTAACATTTTCTTTTATTCTTTTACGAATGCATTTTTCTTTTTACGAAATTTTCGTGATTGAAATCCAGAGATTGTACAAAATTGACTAGTTGTATATAATTATTTTTTATAGAGAATTAGTTATGCAATGGATTTTACAAAAAACAAATTCATGCTAATAATACATAAATGTGCAATTAGCTTATGTTTAATTTTGTTTGCTTAAAATGTATGTTTTTTAAGACTACACTAAGCGCTTTGATTTAACATCTTGGTTTTAAGGCTCCTGTATACTCGTCGCAGCCACGTCAGAGCCACGTGTTGACGTCAGAGGCGAGAAATTTCTTGCGGAATATTTTTAAATAAAAAGATTTCGATAAAACAACACTACAAATCTCTTTGTACACTTGTAAAATATACCGAAGACTAACCTTCTCTCTTGATAGTCAATCAGCACCTGTAAAATAATTGAAACATCAGACTTTGTCATGTAGAATGATTGCACATGTGCAAAGACCAGATGGACTGGATCTGATATTACAGTCATTTTACAGCTGTTGATTGATTATAATGGGAAAAAGCTAGTTTTCGATATATTTTACAAGTGTGCCAAAGACGTTTGTAGTGTTATTTTATTGAAATATCTTTTTATTTAAAAATGTTTCGCAAGAATTTTCATCGTGTTTTTTCGCCTCTGCATGATGTCACGATTCCGACATAATCGGCGAGTATCCAGGAGTCTCAACTTTCAAATTTATATAATATAATATATTAATATATGTGTAATTTTAAGTAATTATAATAATTTTAATTTTTAAAGTAATTATAAGTATTCAAATTAAATAGGTATTTAAGTAGATAGTTTTACAAAAAATGTACGCAAAGATTATATGTAGACGACACAGATGTATGCTAAGTTTTACTGCAATTTTTACATCAGTTTTTTCTGCGAATTGTATTTCGAGAATAGCGACCAGTATAGTCGCAGTCTTAACATCTACTGTATTTTTGTTCCATAATTTTTTTTTCATAAATTGTATTTGTATTTCTTATAATCAATATTTGCATTTGTATCAACATACGTATTTTTTCGAATTATGTATTGTGAATAACAGTTAATATTTACATTAAGTGTTTAGAATGTTCTTTAATGCATTTCAGCATTCTTTGATTGCATAACAGCAACTAACCATTTTTGAGATCTAACGAATAAAAAATCTATATTCTAAAAAATTCTCACAATGTTGTTTTTTATTGTTGGTCTAATAAAACTCATTAACATCACACAAATGTACATTATGTACATATTAGAACAGTAATTCTAATATTGTACATTTTTGTGTGTGTGTACATTATGTATATACACAAATGTATAATATTAGAATTACTATACTACAATACTTTCTGTGTTGTTTTTCTCTGTCGATCTTGTTTCAAAGAATATATTTTAAATATTTTAAATATCAGTTTCTATGTGTGACTATGACAATGCTTTACTGTTCTTGTTTACTCTAATTAAAATAGGTATTTTTTAGTTTTTCGTGTGTTTGCATTATAATTTCATAGATTTTCTATAATTTGATAGTAACTTTGTTAAGTGTTTAAAATTTTTTTATAAAGCGTTATTTCAACTTTATTATACATAATATGTACACAATAATCAAATTTTATTCTAATGAGTACTATGTATGTAGCTTTTATTATATTACTATATATAAAATTATATATAAACGAATTATTAGTTTATATATGAAACCATTTACATATTTATAGATTTATAGATATTAACAGTTACATAAACTAACAATATATATATATAAAATTATAAATAAAAATATAGCTAAAATTACATACGTATATATATATATATATATATATTTATCATAAAATTTGATTATTGCACTCGTATTATAAACATAGAAATTGAAATAACGTTTAAAAAATACTTAACAAAATTAGAATGTAAAATTATGGAAAAACTATATAAATGATTATAAATTAATTATTAGTTTATATTTATAAAAATCAGAAATTATCATGATTAAGTTATATACATATACATATATATCTCTGTTTCTCTATTTCGCTTTCTCTTCCCCCCCCCTCTCATTCCATCTCTCTTTCTCTCTCTTTTATGTACACGCCGGATTATGATAGATTTCATAATAAATTAAGCAGTGTTAATGATAAACAACATGGTAAAGTTTAAATTAATCTGTAGGCAAGTTGCAAATGACAAATATTTTTCGGTGCGGTATATGTCGCGGCGCATTAGAGGCGAGCGAGGAGAGACGCGTCATATGATACCGCGCCGAAAAATATTATCACATTGATTTTTTGGCGATAGGAAAATGACGCAAAAATGATATATATATCTCTTATGTACATATAAAATCTGGTAATACTTTATTTTTAATTATTTATAAAATTACATTAATATTGGACAGTGTATTTATACATATAACTTTCTGGAGAAATAAATCTGTATCGCTATGATATTTGTAATAATTATATATATATATATATAAAATATATTTAAAGATTTACATTATTAATTATTACAAATATAATTATCTTAGTGATACAAATTCATTTTTCTAGGAAGTCATATACACAGTTATGCACATATTTAAATACACAGTCCAATTTAATCGTAAGATTGATTAATTGACTAAAGAAGTATTATAAGATTTTTATCTTTTGATACAGATCGATATATTCATATGATACATATAATATAATTTACTGCATAAATATAATACAATATACTGCATAAATATAATACAATATATACATAAATATAATATACTGTATTTAAGTATGACGTGATAAAGCAGTGTCTTTCTGACACATTCATTGAATGTACAAATTTCTTAATTAATATTCTAACGCGTCATTGTGTTTTTTTAAAATACGAAACAAAAAAGTATTTGTTTAATGTCGTCAAAATAAGAGTCAATTTAAACCAGTTTAAGTCATTTAGTTATTTTTTATAAAAAAATCAATCATATTTTATCATATTTTATCATATGTCGAATATTTTAGTTTCTTATTTGACATATTTTTTTATTGTCGTCAAAATCGCCAAAAAATAAATATAGTGTCGTCAAAGTATACAATGTCATCAAATTAGTCAATCCTCTGTTTCGGGTTAGTTTGACGACGTCGCCAAAGTATACGATTTATTGATAAAATTGTGACGACCGTCGTCAAAATAGCCAGAAGTCGTCAAAGTGTCCAATCTGTACCGAAAATCGTCGTCAAAATATACGATTGACATATATATAGTATTATATATATATATATATATATATAATATATATATAAGTATATATATAAATATATATATATATATATATATATATATATATAAGTGTAGATAAAAGAAAATCTCAATGTAAAATGTTAATATCACCAGCTTTAGCGATACCCGACGCGCACCAACGATGATTGCGTGACAAATTGCTAATGAAGATCTCCTTCGCAGAATCAGTGATCAAACAATTAAAAGACGTTTACGTGAACGTAGTTTAAGATCGCGAGTTCGACATTTTTCTCTTCTAATGGTTGGAAAAAATGTATGATCCATACATTTGGAGAGAAAAATGTCGAACTCGCGATCTTAAACTACGTTCACGTAAATATCTTCTAATTGTTTGATGAAAAAAACACCTTACTTTTTAAAGGGGCGAAGAAAGGGGGAGAGAATGAAATCAAAATCGAACGAAAGTTTCTTAAAGTAGACCCTTCACTCTTTAAAACAAAAAAAATTTTCAAATACGATAATTTTTCACGGAGATACGCTTATTTGAATTTCCGCAAAATTTTAATAGTATTTCTTTAAATAACTGTTTCTCATTTCCCCCTTTTTTTAAGAATTATAATTTGTTCCATCATTTTTCAATTTAATAATTTGACAGATAGAATTTATTTTTTTTTTATTGAAAGGTGTGTTTCGTGAATTCTCTCGCGTGTAAAGTCCCGGGTATAATTTTGAATCTCCACGGGCGACGCGAGCCGAAGCACAGGCTTCTAGTTTTTATTTAATGCAGCAGTACGGGCGCGATGGTATGAGAGAGTTTGATTGAAATAAACTGTAATGACTTGATCCTCGTATAATATTGATTTATTAAAATTATGCGCGACTATGTATTGCGATGCGCTTCTCGAGACATGAAGATTAGCAAGTGACCTGTGCGAATTTATTTCAGGCCGCACAGGCAAGCCTTCGTTGTCGATCCGAAAAAGCCCGATACATCCCGGAATCCCGCGATTGATATTTTGACCGTTCATGTTCATGTGATTGACCGTTTCTTCGTTCACGTGATAAGACCAAAACAAAGTGAGACAATGATGCTTATATATATATATATATAAAAGAAAACCGTGTCTCTTGTCTCGACCAGCACATCCCAACAGATACATGTCCAAACATCGTGCAAATTCGTGATATATAATAACATGGAATAATAATTCTAAACACCGGCCGCCTTGGAAGACGTCGTCTTACAATAATAATAAATAAACTCGGGGTCACATACATGCGGCAGGCATACAATATGATTGATACGCTTCGTCAAATAACAGTACAATGAATATGTATATTAAATAATATGCTTTGTAACGCAAAGAAAATAATAATATATAATGAGTAAAGTGTAGTATAAATGATAAGAGTCGTCCTCAATTCAAATATCTAAAGCGATTTAAATAATTTTGTCATTAACGCTATTTGATTATTCAGCGTGGTCAAACTTTATAACTAATTGCAAAAGAAACGTCCTGCTTTTTGTTTTTTTTTGCACTCATATAGCACGTTCATGTTATGAATGTAGTACAATTGATTGTCAAGCAACAAAAAACAATATATATGTTTTTACAAATGCTAATCTTCTAGAGGCAAAATTGATAATTTTGAAAGAGGCCTGACAAATGATCCCTTGGCCGTGATTATTGTGGCTGTACGGGCGATGCCATCAGTTCCAGGATGAATTTCCTTTACGCGGCCAAGCGCCCACTGCAGAGGCGGAAGGCCCGGTTGCATGACTAGCACCATCTTGCCAACGCCCATCTGCTCTCCCTTGTTGCTAATCCATTTCTGCCGCTGCTGCAATTGATTTAAGTATTCGCGGCTCCAACGACTCCAAAAATGCTGGCGGAGCTGCTCGACTCTCTGCAATCGTATCAATCGACCTTCCTTAATAATTAAATCAGTAAGGTCGTGGCATGGAAAATCACTCAATACCTCGCCAACCAGAAAATGTCCCGGCGTAAGATAGGCTAAATCATTAGGATCAGAACTCAGCGGCGTCAACGGACGCGAATTTAATACAGCCTCTATTTCGCACAACGTTGTCTGCAACTCCTCGAAAGTCAGGTGTGAGTCGCCCGCAACACGCTGTAGGTGATATTTCGCAGATTTTACCGCGGACTCTCAGAGCCCGCCAAAGTGCGGCGCTCCAGGTGGAATAAAACGCCATGATATTCTGGAGTCGCGACAAAACTGTTCTATTTTTTCTTTGGTTGATGACGCGCCACGAAACGCGTACAACTGTTCCAATTGGCGCGAGGCCCCCTTAAAATTAGTTCCATTATCGGAAAATATAGAAGTCGGGTACCCCCGCCGAGAAATGAAACGCTTTAAGGCCGCTAGAAAAGCGTCCGTCGTCAAGTCACTGACTACTTCAATGTGTACTGCTTTCGTAGCGAAGCACACAAATATACAAACATAAGCCTTACTATTTCGAGCATTTCGCCGCTTGCCTTCTCTTATAATGAGAGGCCCCGCGTAATCGATGCCGCAATTAGAGAACGGCCGCGAAGGTGTCACACGGGGCGCAGGTAACACCCCCATTTTCGCTTCCGATATCGCCGGCCTGCATCTAAAACAAACGAGGCACTGTCTAATAACCTTTCGTGTGGTTGAGCGAACCGAGAGAGGCCAAAATTTTTGTCGCACCGCAGCCATAGTGCCCTGTAATCCAGCGTGCAAATTGCGTATATGTTCTTTCTTTATTACGAGCTGAGTGAGCCGATGATTCTTTGGGAGCAAAATTGGGTGGCGGGCATCGTACCTTAATTGTGATTTTTCGAGCCTCCCACCGACGCGAATCAGACCCTGTTTATCCAAGAACGGCGATAATGATTTTAATGAGCTAGCGGAAGTGAGAGCATTTCCCTTCTTTAATTGCTCGAACTCGTTTAAAAAACTTCCCCTTGCACCAGCTTGCAAATGTTTTCCAATGCGGCCGAGATTTCCACGTGCGAGACGTGAACGCCCACGTCTCCCTCGGATCGCAGACGCGGTCCAATAAATCGCCTGCAATATGCAACAATTCGGCATAATTTATCTAGACTCGAACATCTAACTATAAGCTCCGAAAAGGGGCTTGGTGCCACCACGCCAGCGACAGCAGCAACTATCCGCCGCCTCTCCGGCATCTCGGACTCCAGGACATATTCGCCAACGCTTGGCCACGACTCCTCGCTGCTCTTTAAGAACGCGGGACCTCGCCACCATAGCGCGGCATTCCCGATGTCATGCGGGTGGACGCCCCGAGATAGCAAATCCGCAGGATTTTCGGTTGTCGGCACGTGCCGCCAATCCAAACCGGAAGTTAACCGCTGTATTTCTCCGACGCGATTTGACACAAAAACCGACCATTTTCTCGAGCACGACGAAATCCATCTCAGCGCGATCGTGGAATCCGACCACAAAGTATACCGCACGTCCTTTATGTCAATAGATAAACGCACTTTGTCCAACAATTGTGCCAGCAATAATGCCGCGCAAAGCTCGAGTCGCGGAATCGAAATCGCTCTGAGTGGGGCTACTCTTGTTTTAGAGCACAACAGATCAATCTGCACTTCGTTCCCATCTACTTGTCTTCGAATATACAAACACGCGCCATACGCCCGCTGGCTGGCGTCACAAAACCCGTGTATCTGAACGCGAGTTCCCTCTTGATTTCTCCCTATAAACCTCGGGACGCTTAAATCATTTAATTCTCTTAATTGTCTCTTAAACGCGGACCACCTTGCATGCATATCCAGTGGAATCGATTTATCCCACTGTATTTTTAATTGCCAAATCTCCTGTAACAGCATTTTTGGTATGATAATAACCGGACCGATTAATCCCAACGGGTCAAATAATCTTGATATCTCCGACAATATTACGCGCTTCGTTATCTTGTGTGAGTCAGTCGGCAATTCAATCGCGAACCGAAATACATCCATCGACGGATTCCAAAGAATTCCGAGGATGCGCGACGTCGCGTCTCTATCAATTTGAACCTCGGCGTTATGTTTATCATACATATCATTTATCAATACTGATTCGTTTGAATGCCACTTGCTCAGTTGAAATCCGCCGCGGTTCAGAATCTTTACGATCTGGTTTTTCAACGCTAATGCTTCCTCGATTGTGTCCGCTCCCGTTAGCAGGTCATCAACGTAAAAATCGCGTTTTACTCGCCGGGATCCCGCGGGAAATTTCTCCGCGTACATCTCGGCCAAAAATTGCAGCGCTCTAGTAGCTAAATATGACGCGGTCGCTGTACCGTATGTCAACGTTATTAATTCGTATGTTTGCACGCTCGCGGTGGCCTCATCTCGCCACAGAACACGCTGCAGTCGCGTCTGCTGCGGATCGACCAATATCTGCCGGTACATCTTGGCGATGTCTGCGGAGAATACGAATCGAAAAATTCGAAACCTCGATACAATGGAAAATAAATCCTGCTGCACCGTCGGCCCGATCATAAGAGCGTCGTTCAAAGAAACCCCTGTCGAACTTTTGCATGAAGCATCGAAAACCACCCTGATTTTAGTCGTTTTATTTGACGTCTTTAATATACAATGATGCGGCAAATAGTACGTCGGCAATCCCTTGTTTTTGTCATTTTCCTCCCTTACTAATTTCATATGCCCAAGGGCCAAGTACTCGCGCATAAATGCCGCGTATTGCGATTTTAATCCCGGATCGCGATTCAGCCGTCTTTCCAGCCCGCAAAAACGCCGCATTGCTATGTCTCGCGTTTCCCCGAGATTCTCTAATTTCTGTTTAATAATCGGAAGCGTGACTATTATTCGACCCTCTTCATTTCTCTTAGTATTATCGAGGAAGTGTCTCTCGCAAAAACGCTGCGCGCTAGTGTACGAATCCGACGGCCGAAAATCTTCCTCGATCTGCCAGAATTTGGCTAATTGATTTTGCAAGGCGGCATCCGCCACCGAAATGTGAAACGCTCTCACTTCGCGCCCACGGGCGTCACGAGCGGTGACCTCCACACGGCCGGCGACAATCCATCCGAAAAGCGTTTTTTGTAGCGTGGGATGCGATCGGGAACACTTCAATCTCCCCACACAAAGCAGCTGCCAAAATATATCGGTGCCTATCAATATATCGATATCGGAGCATTTATGAAATTCCGGATCAGCTAATTTAATCCCATTAGGTATTTGTATCCTTTCTCGATTAATAGGTGCCGTAGGTATCCGATCGGTTATGCGGTTCGTCAAAACGCACTCCAAACTCGCGCAGAAGCCGCTCAAACGAGAATGTAATTTTACTTTCACGATCTCGTTGGCGTCGCTTGTCATGCCATTTATTCCGGTGATTCTAACACTGCCCGTCGATGGCCTTAAGTTTAATCTCTCGACACAATTTCGCGTTATAAAATTCGCTTGCGAGCCGCTGTCTAGCAAAACTCGACATGATTGTCTCGTTCCAGTAGCATCTATTATATACACAATTGCCGTTGAAAGCAATACATGCGCGTTCCACGCGGAGGACACCTGAGTCATAACTATTTTTTCTTTTATCGTCTCCGGAGACGGCTCACCTTCGGCCTTTCCCTTTTCAGTAATGTCGCCCGAATCCGCCTGAAGATAAAGCATCGAATTATGTTTGGCTCCGCATGTTTTACACGCGCCCATTTTACATTTTGCGGCATAATGATTGCCCCCGCGAAGACAATTTGCGCATAGCTTGCGCTTCCGTATTTCCGCGATTCGTCGAGCGACCGGCAGTTTAATAAACTCACGACAATAATAAATGAGATGTTTTCCCTGGCAATATCCACACGACAAAGAGGCAGTCGCGACGTGAGCTGCCAAACGCTTTCCGGCGGGCTGAGTTTGTAAATTTCCGCGATTCAACGATTCTAGCAAATTGCATCTGTGCTCCAAAAATTCTGAGAGTTGCTTGAACGCGAGTAATTCTGTCCCGGTCAACGACACCTGCCACTCTCTAGCAGTAATCGGATCGAATTTAGACGAAACTAAGTATTGATAAGCAGCGTGTCCCAATGCTCCGTAGGGCAATGCAGTGCCTTCAATGCTTGTATGTGTTTCGCGGCATTGTCCGCCACCCTACGCAGCTCAACAGCATTTTCTTTCGCGATATTTGGCAGCTCGAACAGAGCGCGTAGATGCGTATGCACTATAGCGCGTTTGTTATCATATCTCTGTTTTAATAAATCCCAAGCTACTTGATAATTTGAATCAGTCAATTCCAGCGATTGAATTATAATTGCTGCCTCGCCTGTCATAGATGCTCTCAAATATTGAAATTTTTGGAAGCCGCTCAAGGACGGATTATCATTTATTATGGAGTTAAACATTTCATAAAAAGGAAACCAATCCTCGTATTTTCCCGCGAATTTTGGTAGATATAATTTCGGTAATCGCACTCCGCATGCAGAGGTGCCCGACTCGCCGACGGATACCGGGGTAGACACTGCGGAGCGGCTATTGGAAGGCACGCGATTATATCCCGCAATCTTGCAGCGCAACGCTGCCGTCAATCCGAAAAACATTTCTTCAAACGCCTCGCGATCTCCTCCCTCACCGTCGCAGATCGCCTCTATCTCAGATTGCCAGTCATACTCCTTCCAATAGCTAGCTAATTTATCTTTTCTTTCCTCTAAATTTGCTACCGTTTCCGGCGTCAATTGAGTCACCGAATCCGCGTATGTTTTTATTCGGGTACACGCAGCCTTTATTGACGTACGCTTTCTCTTTAGTGCTAAGATCTGATCCGAATGAGCCATAATCCACGCAATATATCGCTATCGCGCACAATATATATCGCCACAATAACAGTTCACCCGAAATGCGAAACGGAAATGAACACCCTGATTGGCAAGTGAGTAATTCTTCTACCTTGACCGTCGATTTGATCGCTCAGCTAATGCCTCATTGACCGCCTTTGGTTGTTCGTCCGCCAATTTCTCTGCATCATGGATCGTCACACGGGCTCCTCCGGGTTGGCAGCTCCTTATCTCATTTATTTCAACGGCCACTGATTGTATGCTTCAGGGATGTCCTCTCGATGGACGATAATCATTGCTCCTTGACCCTCTCGATGCAACTCCAAAGCGGCTCGTACCGTTAAATATTGTTGCGGATCTGACAAATTTCAGTTTGTCGCAAAGAATCCGGCTCGAAGGACCAAAATGTTTCGTGAATTCTCTCGCGTGTAAAGTCCCGGGTATAATTTTGAATCTCCACGGGCGACGCGAGTCGAAGCACAGGCTTCTAGTTTTTATTTAATGCAGCAGTACGGGCGCGATGGTATGAGAGAGTTTGATTGAAATAAACTGTAATGACTTGATCCTCGTATAATATTGATTTATTAAAATTATGCGCGACTATGTATTGCGATGCGCTTCTCGAGACATGAAGATTAGCAAGTGACCTGTGCGAATTTATTTCAGGCCGCACAGGCAAGCCTTCGTTGTCGATCCGAAAAAGCCCGATACATCCCGGAATCCCGCGATTGATATTTTGACCGTTCATGTTCATGTGATTGACCGTTTCTTCGTTCACGTGATAAGACCAAAACAAAGTGAGACAATGATGCTTATATATATATATATATAAAAGAAAACCGTGTCTCTTGTCTCGACCAGCACATCCCAACAGATACATGTCCAAACATCGTGCAAATTCGTGATATATAATAACATGGAATAATAATTCTAAACAAGGTGACTAATATATATTTTTTGCAGGTTGAATCTATATATGAAGTTATTTATCGTGTTGTTTATCATTACGGGTATAAATTGGTTTCTGTATACGATTTTAAGGTTCTTTGCGGTACAATTATATAATATTAGTTATTACATTGATATTGTTAGTGCTTTGTTAAATGTAGTAGAGAATTTCTTCGTCTTTATCATATTTGTATGGAGGAAGAAAATCAAGTTGATGTTACTGAAACGATTCGGATTCAAGACGAATGCATCGGCTTGAATACCACTTTTGAGGAATCCATGCAGGAAAAGTCAATCTTTTGCGGAAAAGAAAAATATCACACGAAAAATTTGTTTAATGGGATTGAATTCAAATGTTGTCAGTGTGTAAAGAAAAGAGTTTTATCACATATCAAAAATCAACGATTAATCACAATTTAATATTATCTTAAAATTACAATTGACAATGTTATATTTTACATGATGTTTAGGTTTCTTTAAAAGATTTAATTTAAAATTTCAAAGGAAAAATTTGTTTTATCGATACATATAATTAAGTCAACTTTATGGTTAAATTTTGTAAACGTTTTTCTTCAAATAATAATTTTGTATGAAAGCTATACAATATATTGTGCTATATTATTATAAAAAAGATTTCTGATTCAAATATCCTAAAAAAATCATAAAAATGAAAAGGTCAGGCCATGTTCAAAAGAAGGTACTCAAAAATTTAAACGATCTAATAATAAATTATCACGAAAAGTAACTGATATGTTATTCAAGGTGCCAGTTCAAAGTGAACATACGTAAAGTGTATATTATCTAAATTTAGTAATAATATATTATCATGAAAAGTAACTGTAATATTTTATTCAAGGTGCAAGTTCACATTGAATATACATACATATAAGTAAAACTGATTACAATTTGATTCTAGAAAATAAGTGCGATATGTTATTCTTAGTGCACAAAATATAATAGTCGTTTATAGAGATTTGATTTGAAATTCATACTAGCCCGTACAATGAAAAATAATTGCTCGTAATTCCAGAGTACTAATTTGTTATTTTTCATGTTATTTGTCTGAGTCATTAACAAATTAGTACTCTGGAATTACGAGCAATTATTTTTCATTGTACGGGCTAGTATGAATTTCAAATCAAATCTCTATAAACGACTATTATATTTTGTGCACTAAGAATAACATATCGCACTTATTTTCTAGAATCAAATTGTAATCAGTTTTACTTATATGTATGTATATTCAATGTGAACTTGCACCTTGAATAAAATATTACAGTTACTTTTCATGATAATATATTATTACTAAATTTAGATAATATACACTTTACGTATGTTCACTTTGAACTGGCACCTTGAATAACATATCAGTTACTTTTCGTGATAATTTATTATTAGATCGTTTAAATTTTTGAGTACCTTCTTTTGAACATGGCCTGACCTTTTCATTTTTATGATTTTTTTAGGATATCACTTACTTTTTAAAGTACAGATATATAGAGCAGCTTTCTAGTAATTCAAGTATCACAAATATATGTATTTTCGATTCTTATCACATAACTTTGTATAAGTAACAATTTATGCAATACAGTTCAAAATAATTGAAATATATGGTATATATGTACATATATAAAATATATAATTATATTATAGTATACATATAATATTTTATTTAATCATATATGTAAATGTTTGTATAATTGTAATAACTTTTAACGATACATTGCACATTTATTTGAATTGCAACAGAATGAATTTATATTCTTGTATGAATATTGAAAATAAGGAATGGGCCCCTCCATCGCCCATTCTCGTGAGAACGCAACCATATATTTTTCTTTGTCTCTCCGATTTTAACACGACATACATATTTCTGTCTGATAATTTTTTTCTTGATGATACTTTTTGAAATGTCATGAAGCCTAGGTCAAATTAGAAACTTATTGCACTCGTTTTAATGCAGCGCTTACAGCAGCTTTTATAAAGCGCCAGAGCAGCCGATATTTTATTTTGGCGCTTACGGCAACTTTTATACAGCGCTAGAACAGTTGATGTTTTAATGTAGCGTTTACGGCAGTCTTTATACAGCGCCATTATTTAATCTGTTCTAAGAACAATATGTATGCTCCTTGTGCTCCTTTGGGCCATTTTTTCTTGAACACTTCCATATCATTAGAGTAATACCATTCCGATTTTGTGTCAGCTCTCAACATACACGTGTAGTGACCACGATTCATTTTTTCATCTTCGTGAAATATAGCGCTTATTAGCTTGTACTTTTTTTATTAATCGTGATATTACTCGTCGGCACGGCGGTAATCCGATTGTTGATAATTTTTTTAGAAGCACCGTTTACAAAAGTATATAAATTGAGCTGTATTACTACGACGGATAAAGTTGATTCGATTACGGTTTTCTTTTTCAACACGGTGCCCTTACATTTGTTACAATTGCCGTTTATTGTTTCCCATTTAGAAAATTCTACATTAATCAAACTTTGTAGAGTGACACCTTTTTTCCTTTTTAATGTCGAATGTATAGGTAATATTAACAAACTACTGCTTTCCAGCTTAGTTACATTGTAATTACATTTGACATTCGAGCAACATGTTACGTGCTTTAATTCGAGTTTTAATACATCATTGATGTCGGAATACGTCGACATTAGAGCCGTAAAAAATTCCGAAACATCTTGTTGTGTTCGTTCTTCGAAGCGTTTTCCGACAGATCTTCTAACCGCTTGAATGTTGCAATATTTACGTTCACCATACGCGCAGATAGCATCAATCAATGCATTCGATGCTTTATTTTTCAGTATTTGTTGCCTAATACGTACGCAATGAAACGCACATTGTAATATTACATTAGCGTAACACGAAACAGCATCGTTATTGCAAAGGCCATATATTTTCCACGTAACTATACTTTCTGGTTCCTCACAATCATAATTCTGCATATCATCAATGATATTAGGGATATCCCATCGACGATCGTACATTTTCACAACCTTTTTCTCGGACGGATTGATTTGTGGCAGTTCAGATTTGAATATAGATCTCAGTCGATTATATTCTACAATGGCTCTCGTTTGCTTTAACTGATGCTGGATTGAAATTTATCAAATGTAGGCCTTCCAATTTACTTACTCGTGACAAACCTACATAGGCTTGACCATCACTGAATACAGTCGTTCCTAAATCCATCATTGCATTGTTACATGTAATTCCTTCGATTATAAATAATTCGACATTCTTTAATTTGTCTCTCAAAGTTTTCAAGACCATGTCTGACAATTGCGTATATTTTGGTGTAGATTCATGACTAACCGGTAGTTGAAACATTCTATGGATTGTCAAGCCATCGATATTGAATGCTGCGATACCCGTGGGAGCAGATATGGCAGTCGTTTTTTCCAAATTTATTCTGATCCAATGTTTAATCGTTTCAATTAGAAAACTTTTCCCTGTACCACCCTCGCCACTTACGTACAGTCGCAGAATCTGATTTTATCTTGTAAAACTTGGCATACTCCATCAAAGACTCTTTTCTGGTCTTTGTTCAATTGCGACATCATTTGCGATAAATCAATCGGGTCGTCAATCTTACCAAAATCTTCCAGATCTTTCATCGCGTCGTCAGCTTCTATCGGATTACAATCCAGTTCATCGTCATCGGATTTGTCTCTGTCTGCTGTTTTCAGATCATTTTCGCGCTTCTCGATTAATTCAGCAACGTTCTCAAAAGCTTTCTGTATTTCTTCGAGCCTTTCGTGATATTTCATTGCCTTCGTTAAAACAGACTCTGAATTCTTAAAGGCATCCGTGTAAGTCTCGAATGTACCTTTGAGTTCACTCAAATCTCTCCATGGTTTGAACAGAAGAAGCAGCGAGTAAAAGTATTTTTCGGGCTCAGTTTTTATATTAAATCGATAATGGTTAATTAAATAACCCTTTTTTCGTTTTTTTAAAAATAAACCCGATGCCAGTTTGTAACACTTGACTTCGTCATTATTTGACATCTGTTTCGTAATTTCCCAGAATCTGGCAAAATCG